TATCTTTATCATTGCAGAAGTCAATCCTGTTTTTAACAACTACTATAAAAGAAACAAGTCAAATCCTATATAATGTAATGGAAAAATTTAAAGGTTATATACATAGATATATTTGAATCATAAAATGTAATAATATCAAAAAATAGAAACTTGACAATGGCATCAAAAACAAAAGAAAAAAGAAGGTTAATTCTCCTGTGGTAATTAATTTAGTAATTAGTTTAACCTCTATTGATTTTAAAAATAATAATAAAATTCATAGAGATAAAAGAATTCTTAAAAATATTTGTTTTAATATAGTCAAAAAATTTTTATTTCAATCTATTCAACATAATATTAAATGGACAAGGTTATATAAAATAGGTTATTCAGCAGAACCTTAACATATTGAGGATAGCTGTTATTGTCAAGCAGTAGGTTGCAAGCATTTCTCTTTATAGAGTTAGTCCAAGTTCTATTTTTAAAATAGTTATTAGGATAAGTTGTGTATTTTGCCTTATGTAATAATAATGTAAAAGACTTTCTCTTTTCTTAATTAATAAATTTGAGGCAAGGTCTTATTAGAATAAAAAAAAATAAAAATAAAAATAAAAATAAAATAAAATCAATATAAGCCAATAAATATTATTAAATATATTTTAAATTATTACCTTTTATTTAGTGTATTTTGATATAACAATAATAAAAATATGAAAATATAAATTTATTTCTTTTTGAAGAATTTCATATGGATTATTTAGAGTGAGTAAAAGTAGTTATTCTGAAAATAAACAAAAGAATATATAGTTAAATAATAAGTCATATGAGATAATTGATCTTGTTGCATAAACAAAAAAACATTAACCTTTGAAGAAAATTTGAAACGATAATTAACAATATGATAAATTTCGAAAGATATTTGTTAATAATACCATAGGCAAAATCCTATGTTTATATATTCATATAATAATAATTATTCTTATTTGAAAATTTTATTATAAATATTATATGTAAATGTTTGTAATATTTTAACAATACTAATTTAAACTCAGGAACGTATTAATACTAATAAACTTTAGATCAATATGATATCTAATAAAATTATAACAATAATATAATTACATTTAGTAAATATAAATACTAATTTTAATTGTTGTAATAAATTTTGAAAGATATTGTTAACAATGCAATTTCACTATGATAAATTTCGGAGGATATTGTTAACAATATAATGTCAATTAAAATTGCTATGATTAATTTTTGAAGAATATCGTTGACAATACAATGTCAATTAAAATTGTTGTAATAAATTTCGAAGGATATTGTTGATAGTATAATATTGATTAAAATTACTGCAATAAATTTCAAAAGACATTATTAACAATATAATGTCAATTAAAATTGCTGTAATAAACTTCGAAGGATATCATTGACAGTATAATGTCAATTGAAAATCGTAGTGATATAAATGTAAGTGATAATCATCAAAATGATATATTATGAATATCTAATATAAATGAAGGTTATTGATATAAAATTATTAAGAAAATATAAAATTTACATATGAAGATATCAAAATTGATAACCTTTGAAGGTTATCAATACGAATTTACTATGAAAACGATAATATTTGTAAAATTTTACACATGAAGATATTAAAATTAATAAGGTTATCAATATGAATTTATTACGAAAACAATAATATTCGTAAAATTTCACATATGAAAATATCAAAATTGATAAATTTTCAAAGATTATTGATATGAATTTACTATGTAAACAATAATATTCGTAAAATTTTGTCACATGAAAATATCAAAATTGATAACTTTTAAAGGTTAACAAAGACTTTTGAAAGATAACATATTGAAAAATAGTGAAATACTTATGTTAACATTAACTTTCGAAAGTTTTCACTAGAAAAAATTTCCTGATATAGTAAATATTAATTCAGTTAACAAATAATAATATTTTAATAATTTTTCAACTAATATTTATATTCAGTAACACATATTAATTAATCACGAAATAGTAGTACAAGATCATGTATTCATGTGATATTTAATTATACAAATATAATTATTAATTGTTATCACATATTATTATTTAACAATAATTATTAACTTCTATTATTAATTGGTATTAGATATATTGTCCAGTACAAAAAGATTGATATCTCAGATATTTATTAATAAAAATTAATTAACAAAAAATTTTTAAATTTTAATTACATAATTAAATAATTTATGTAATAGGAAGTATTTTAATATAAATTTTATTAAAGTTTAATTAGTCAGAATCAATATTATTAATGAAAACAATTTTATTATCTGATTCATTATCAATTAATACAATATTATCATTGGATCTTTCATAATCTTTTGTAATATTAACTGTTTTTTTTCAGAAATCAGTAATAATTTGTGAATTTAATTTTTCTTAAAAGCATAAAAAAATTATTTCTAATAGAAAGAAGATTAGGATATGGATTTGATCTTGCTACCTTACCTTTTACTACTAACAAAATGCCTTCAATATATTGAAGTTTACAATGATAAAAAAAGGTATAAAAAATCTGATGATCAAATTATTTCACTATTTCTATATAAGCAAAAGGAATATTTTTTTTATTTTACTTTACAAGTTTTAAAAGTTCAGATTTGTATGTTCTTTTGGAATAACAACATACTTGTTTTCTAACCATTCAATAATTTCTGCTTTTTTTGATAATACAGAAAGAATCTTTTCAATTCTTTATTTATGATAACATATATTATCTATATGAAAATCTATTTTACCATATTTTTCTTTAATAAATGCATAAAATTTTTCAAATAAAAATTCAAAAATTTTAACATTAAAATTGTTATAATAATAAATTTGATCAGATGTAATATTGGAATTTTTAATAAAGTCAGAAATATCATCCCATTTATCTATATTTAATCACTTGTACCCTCTATTTAATGGTATTTGAATAGCAGGATCTCAAATATAAACTGAATTTGGAACCAATTTACCTTTTATCTTATTGGTATTGTAATTTTGAAAAATAATTATTGTATCAAAAATTATAACTAATGGATCATGCCCTAGTTTAAAAACAATGCCATGATAAGAGATCCAGGTTTTATTTGATATATGGTAAAGATGACAATATGACTTATTCAAAAATATTTCAAGACAATTTGGTACACTATTATCTCCTTGTAAATTTGTAAATCTATATCTAAGATATTAATAGTGAAATATAATATTATTGGGTGACTTATGTAAAATATTTTTTCTCTCACCTTGACCAAAATAATAATTCAAAAAATACAATAGACAAAGAAGTTGCTATTTAGAAATCTCATATCCTTTTTCAAAAAGATATTATCGTATTATTGTAGTAGATAAAAGTTGTTCTGTTTTATTTGATTCTAAGACTTTTTTATGAATTAGTATTGATACAGTAGAATTTGGTTGAACTTCAAGTTGACTAAGAATTTTACTTGATGTAGAGATCACATTTTTATTTTTGTTCCATTCTTAAATAATCTGTTCAATAGTACTTTCTGAAATACCCAATATCAAAGCAACATGCTTGTATAATATAAGCTTTTAATTGTATTTATTGGTGGAGGTAGGATCAAAAATGTACTTGTGAGTATTAATTATTATTTTTTTTTTGTTTTCCGTCAATGGGGAACCACTTCGTTTATCAGTTGATAAAAACATTATAGATCAACTTAAGTAGTACAAATTTTAGTCAAGATATTTAAGTATATTATATAAAAATTTGAATACTGATCAATTAGAAAAAAACTAAACTTAATTAAGAAATGATTAACATACTCAAATTTGAGGTATCAATCTTTTTGCACTGAACAATATTTAGTAAAATAATATAAAGAAATAGTAACTAATAGAAGTAATGCACAATAACAGTAGTGGTACAGTAATAAAGATTATTAGATTTAAGTATAAAAAGAAAACTGAAATTATCTTGATCCTCTTTAGTTTACAATTTTATAATTTTGAATTTTGATAATTTGTAACTTATTTGAAATTAATAAATTTAATTTTATAATTTGCAACTTCAAGATAAACACTTGTAAAAATTATTTTGCAATTGAATTAATAAAATAATAAATATTGAAAATATAAAATAAAAATTAATAAAATAATTATTAAATATTAAAATATAATAGTTAATGAAAGAATAATGGATATTATAGGATTAAATACTTGATTACATAATTGTATAATATTATTATTCTTGAGTTAATAAAATTATTATAAACTATTGTTATAAACCTTGGACTTGAAATAATATTTAAACAATTAATGAATGGATGTTAATATTAAAAGTAATGATGAACTTGAAAAATATTGAAATAAATTAGATAAAAGGTCTAATTCCCTTTCTAAAATAATTAAATCAGTGATATCTTCTAAAACAATTGAACAATAGTTTTACCTTTGGAAAAGGACTATAAACTCCTTAAAAGAACTGTTAAGTCACTTTACTAGTTTAACCTTAAGGAAATCAGGAACTACTGGTAACAGCATCAACAGGTATATGACATGTCAAGTCATGATACATGACAACAGTGTCAATTTTTTGTTATTATGATACATGATAATGGTGTCACAATTCTGTTGTCACAACACATGATGATGATGTTGCATTTCTGTTATCATGACACATATCTGAAACATCATAACCTAAACTAAGATACCATAACATAATTATATTATAGCATCTTGACTAGTGTTATATTATATATCTATTATATATTTATTTACTTACTATATTTGTAAAAAATTTATTTATTTTTTATCAATTAACTAATGAACAAATTATTACAATCTCAATTATATATGAAACCAATTGATATGCAAGTTACATGGAAATTTTAGTTTTAGAAATAGAAATTCTTTATTATTATAAATTATACTAAATTAATATATTATAAAGTACTTAACTAATTTTGTAAAAAAGATTGACAAATCTTGCACAATACTGTTAACATTGCTCATCTTCCATCTGGTTCTACCAAATCCAGGCCATTTTTCATATAATTTTCTTCAGGCCATCTGTTAATCACCCACATCAAGTTCTTTCCAATATTCAAAGAGATCTTAACCCTGTAAAATGTAACATATGTAGAAATAACACAAAAGGTAAATATAACCTGATCATTAACTTTAAATTTACCAGCTTCACATTTATTTTCATCTCCATAGGCAAGTATCTCAGCAGTGATTTGTGTTTCTCCAAAATCTTGAATGGGATCAAAATTCCATAAGTATTTATACTACCAGAATGACTGTTTGAATAAACAAAGGTATGGATTATCAAATAATTGTACAAAAATATATATACCTATTCTAACTACAATAGCTACTCTTTCCTTACTAACTACAAAAATGAAAATGTTAGGAAATCATTGGATTGAGATCAGACTTTTCCCATAATTACTCACTCGCCTATCAAGGACCAGGAATTCAACTTAACAAGATGAAGCAAATCATGGACTATTGAGTCAGTTCTAGATTCGGGTGTCTCCACAATGTTTCTTGTGACAATATTCAACTTATCAAAGAATGTTCGGACGTCATTATCCGAAATTTCACTAATTTTCCAACTTTAAAATTTGCTTTATCGAGTGTGTCTTTACTATTTCGGAACAAATGTATAGTTCCGGAAAATTTTGACTTTCTCAATTCTAGGAATTACGTAATTACGTTTCCTCAGATTGGTTGGAAAATCACTTTATATATCCTCTCGCGAAATCGGATGCTGATATATTAATATCGATTGAGAGCTTTGGCATAACTTGAACTTCTTTTCGCAAACCTGAAAGGGGGTTAAATAGTATGGGAAGAATATATGACGAGACAAACATTTTATATTCGCCATGATTGTATAATACAAAACGTGATCAAGGATGTCATGTGTAACCGCTTGTGGATTAGTGGATATGTAATAATAGCCAATAAAACTAAAGGCAAAAAAAAAGTAACTTCGGGCTTAGTTTTCTAAATCCTCTAAATCGATCGGGAATTCAAATTGTTGTTATATACACACAAGATCATCACTTCGTAATTCATAAAAGAAAAATGAAACAGTCAAACAAGTTAGAAACATGGGGAAGTGAAACTACAATGAACTTGACAAATATTCTTTACCAAAACATTCAAGCTTCACCTTATTTCAAGCAACTCTAGTGAGTATGTTGTCTCAGATGCTATCACACTTTATTTAAAGAGAGATGGTATTAACTTATACTTTTGTATTTACAAATAGCGAGTTGAAAACTTATCATGAAGTTATTGATGAAATATATAATCATGGCAAGTGAAATAATAATATTATATTGTTCTGTTAATAAGTAAAAAAAAATGTATTTAATAATAATATAAATAATATAAAATTTTTATTGATAATTTTTTCTTTTGTCGGTTATATAGTTGAGTCTCTCGGTAGGTAAACGATGTCAAAAATTTATTTTATATTCATTCATTATGTGATTTGCGAATTAAGGTTTTCCGAACTTGTCTGAACATATTTCTGTTTTGTATATTTCTGTTTTGTATATTTCTGTTTTTTTGTATAGAACCTTTTCTAAAAGGAACAACAGCATCTACGGCTTTTTGTTTATTGTATAAGCTTTGGACTCTTAGATTAACCGTGAAACAAATTAACGGTTTGATCGAACATTCCGATTCACCGTAAGTAAAAATGATTAAGTGTTCGTTTGAGTTTGTTTATTTATTTATTTATTTTTTTTTTTTATATATTAAAAAAAAAAAATTTTTTTCAATAACAGACATATCAGAGCATTAGGATTCATGTATCTTCGTTATGTCTGCAAACCGGCTCATCTATGGGATTGGTTTGAAAATTACCTGGATGATGAAGAACAAATTCAAATTCAAGGTGGACCTCGACCAGTCTCAATGTATGTATGTTCAATGGATATATTCGCAACACTCTTATTATTCATCGTGAGTTGTTCATGGTTGTGTGTTACGCTTTGTCTTAATTTAAGTTTTTGAAGAACGTTGTTACTAATTAAATTTTGGTTTCAGAACAATTGGAAAATTGTGTCGCCAATTACTGACTGATCAAAAATGGCTTGGTACCATTTTACCACGTATTCCGGTACCGATTGCTCGTGATATTGATCAAAAACTAAAGGAAAAACCAAACAGATCTTTATCAAGGTAGGCACATGTAAACACATTTGTTTTTCTCGTCATTTTCATATTCAGTTATTCTACTGTGATCAGGAGGTTACGATTTTAGTGCTTTATAACACATTACAAAAATAAAGCAAAATAAAAGCGACTGGATGTAAAGTTGTTGATTTTCCTGGGGAACGAGGTAGAATAAAATAAGAGATCGAAGTTTTTAAAATACCTTTATTATTATTATTAAAAGTTTATAAAAACATTTAGGGCTAAAAATGGAACCAATTTTTTTTTATTTTTTTATTTTAATTATTTTTTTTTTCAGACGTGATTCTCCAACTTATGATTTAGAACCATTGAAACAGGAAGAAGATGATAGAGATTATCGTCGTAGTCGTAGTCAAAGTGTTGAAAGGGGATCCTCAAGATCACATAGATATCGCGATCATGATTATGAACGCAGTGGTCGTAGGGAACGTGATAGATATCGGGATAATGATCGTGATCGTCGACGCAGTCGAAGTCGTAGTAGAGAGAGAGAACGTCATCGTAGACATAGAACTTCAAGTCGAGAACGTAGAGAGAGAGAATATGATCGTCGTGGTAGTTATGATGATTATGATAGAAAAAGGAGATATGATGATGAAAAAGGATTAGAACGTCGCAGAAGTAAAAGTCCACGAAATTAAATTAGGTAATTGTTGAAAGAACTATAGCATTAGATTAGATATTATTGTCACTGCACGTAGATAGATTTTTTAATAATTTTTAATAATTATTATCCAACTTCCAGGAATTAATTACTTATTATGCTATTTTCTGAAATTATTACTTTTATAACACTTTATTTCTATAAGTCCAATGTTTCTTATAAATCTAGAATTGACTTAATTGGCTTTCGTTCAACATTTAAACATTTCACATTTTTAATTAATTGCAAGTTGGAAAATGTGTGTATAGATCTATATTTCTTAGCGACATCATTATTTTTTGCATAATATTCTTTTAGTTTATAATGGTGTTTTTATTTTAAGACTATACATTAAAATTTACCTTAAATTTATAAATAAATATATTAAAATTTTATTTGAGAATTATCTTAAGTGGTGTATCAGATAAAATGTTATGATCCATCTATCCTTGTTTTATATTGTAAATCGTCCTTCCTTACTCTCATAAAAGAAAAATTCTTTTAATACTGTTATCCTCGAATGTTATTTTACAAATGAGTACTTTTTTTTTACATATATCTACGCGTATTATTTGTATCAAAACATCCTGGATTTGTTTTCTTTAGATTATTCAGGTAAACACAAATTCTCTATTTAAAGGGTCTTAAATCCATTCAGATTTATTTTTTTTATCGTCATTTACTCTACTATATACTACAATTGAAAAGGGAACGCTCTTAGAAGAACAAGTTATGAAGCAAATTATATAACATAAAGTATAGCATAAATATTAAGGTGAAATATATTTCATCAGAGATTTTCTGGTTATATACACCCGAAGTTACGCTGTTACTAAAATAATTAGAATAATTAGAATCAGAGAATTGAAAGCTTATCGGGCTACTATGAGGTTATAAGTCGGATAACTATGTAGTAAACGTTCTTCTCTGGTTATTATTATTTGAAAACCGTTAACCTGTGTTCGTATAGAGTTTGTAGTGAATACTGTACATGGAATAAACTTTATAAGCGGTAATAGAACTTATTCTTGACAATAATAAAATTTACTTGGCTCCATCTATTCTGTAGAAAAAAAAATAAGGGATGCCTTATAAAAACTTTTTCTTAATAATCCAGTGCAAGAATTATAAGAATTATACAACCTCAGTTGATCATCTCTACAACTAATTAACTGAGACAGTGGATACACAAAGCGAAGTTGATCTTACCGATCAAAAAAATCAAATGATCTTCCTCAAAAATCTAATTCTCGGCCAATAAGAAAAATATAAAAAACAAAATCTCAAAAATGATAGTTAAATAATGTTAATATGAAATTGTTTACTACAGAAGATGAAGAAGAATTAGATGCTTTGTTTAAAAATGTAGAAGAATCTTACAAACTTGTACAACAAGAAAAGCAAATTCAAAGGTCTTATTTTATTTTATTATTATTATTATATATCACTTCATATCTTATCATTTTAATTTTTTAATTATTTTATTTTACAGTGATAAAAAAAAATCAAAATCAGCTCTAAAGTAAGTAAATGATTGCAAAAGTTATCTTTTATTTACAAAATTTTTTTTAAGATCTCGATTTCAATTCGGTTGATTTGATTTTTCAATATTTTCAATATTTTCAATAAATAAATAAATAAATATGTAATAAATATAGATTTCCTAAGTTATTTCATATTGATGATGAACAACTTTATATAAAAACAAATCCAGATGGTATCGCGGTTCTTAAAGAGGACGCTGTACCAATCATCGGATTCGAGAAAAAAGAAAATAATAATAATAATTTCACTCCAGAAGGATCAAATAAATTAGTTCAATCATCTCAACATTTACAACAAACAAAATTAAGTAAAAAGGAAAAACAAAAGGTAAAATCAATATTTATATAATAAGTAATAGATATAGAATATTTATAATTGAAGAGGATGATATTTAATATTTATTTACTAGAGCAGATGAAATGAATTCTATTTTAGAGTTCAATCTGTGATGTTAGTTATTACAAAAATAGTCATAGTTACACTGATTCAATTTAAAATATTATATATATATATATATATTTTTTATATTATATTATTTTGATTCTTATTTTAAATAATTTTGAATATAATTTTGAATATAGCTTCGTGAGTCAACCTCCGGTCCTGGTTGGTTCGATATGCCTAAACCTGAATTAACACCTGAAATAAAGCGAGATCTTCACGTGATAAAATTAAGAAATGTTCTTGATCCTAAAAGGTTTTATAAAAAAGATAATTCCAAGAATATTCCAAAATATTTTCAGGTGTGTGAAATGTATTATCCCACTATTTTATTATGGAAAGTTTATGAAATATTTCCATTTGATATTATTATTATGAAATTTCATTTATAGGTTGGAACAATTATTGAAGGTCCCACGGATTTTTATGCTTCTCGATTACCACGTAAAGAAAGAAAGAAAACTATTGTTGATGAATTAATGGCGGATGATAAAGCCAAGAAATACTATAAAAGAAAATTCTTGGAAATTCAAGAGGTAATTTTCATATATTCCATATATTACATTATATTACATTATTAAACGTTTTTAACATTTAAATTTAGACTAAACAAAGTGGAGGAAAGAAGTATTATAAAAATCTTCGTAATAAAAGAATTCCAGAATGGAAAAGATGAGATGAATTGAAAAAAAAAATAATAATAATTGATTCATTATTTGTATTATATACCGTATTTTGCACCCCTCCTCCACCCCCCCCCAGAAATTATTTTAAAATACCCGGATATTTTACATGATCTAAAATATAATATGCCCTACATTAATTTCTATTATTGTTTACATTCACTTAATGTACCCCGAGTATGATGAAAACTTAAAAAAAAAAATCATGTACACGTTCCGTTTCGTAACACCGTTCACTTTTAGCAAAATACATTTTTATTTATGAACAAATTTTTTTAAACTTTAGAAGACAGTCAATATGCATTTTGCATTCATACTAAATAAAGTTCGCCCAAATATTGGGTCTTATTTTTTATCAATGTAAATTTTTTTGTAATTGATGTTTTTTTATTAACGCGTTCAAAAATACAAAATGCATGAATTTATGTCGTACGGGTCGTACAGGCAAACGGATAATTACATATAGCTCCACTTAATATTTTTATATCACATATCAAAAAGAAGTCATATAATATAACGAGAGTCTCTACTGATTGCCAAACAAATTACAATTAAATTATATCCAGAATGGGAAATTACTGATGGAGACGCATCATGTGAAGTTGATTATGCAATTTAAAAGTGAGAGAAGAGTTGGAATTTACGAAGGTAGTGGAATTCTTCAAAATATTATACAACTTGAAAGTGCGTTCAATTGAAAAAAAAACGGAAATTTTGTACTGGTGGGTTTTGTCAAAGAATTATAATTTACATAAACATTTTTTATTTTTTTTAATAATATCGATCTTGTTAATTATAGCCGACAAGTGCTATTTCTTAATGCATACACCAAAAAATATGTATCTCCCAAAGAGGCATTATCCGATATGAAAGTGATGCTTTGAGTGATGACACCAAACTTCGCAAAGAAGTGAAAAAGTTTATGGAAATAATTGTAGACTTGTTGAAAGACGGAGTGGAGGTTGATGACTCATTGGCCAATGATATTCCTTTCTCTTATTATAATGTTTGACTTTGAAGAACAAAATTCGCATTTACAATTTTGCGAATTTTAAATTGTGCATCAAAAATAAAAACCGTTATTCTTATTTAGAGAATTTCCATTTCATTGTTACTGTTTAAAATAAAGTATTTCAAAAATTTCGGTTATAAAAAATTCACTCATAATACTAAACGTTGTTACCTGTGACGTGTTCCTTACAAACACAGCAATGTCTATCAAACTTTTCTGTCTTGTTAAAGAGGACCTGGTAATGAACGCTTTTCCAGTCAATATTGATGAGGACGAAACTATTGGTGATCTTAAAGAAAAAATCAAGGACAAGGACACGCAAAAGTTTGGTAATGTAGATGCCAAGTACCGATCAACTGCGACGGTACTAATCAGGAACCAATATTACAAGACAATAATGCATTAATTGCTCCAATAGAAATCAAAGAATACTGGACTGTCAAATCTCCGAAGAGGCATATCCACGTTATGATCAAGCCTCCGACTATTATTCAGAAGGCCTTAGAATGTAAAAAAATTTTTAGAGCTTCTTAATAGCGTCTTGGATAATTTACACAAAATTTTTATGCCTTGACAGTTTTGCCAACAAATAAGTATTTTAACATTAACGGGATGATCTTTCCAGAGCGAAATGACGTTTACTATGTGGATCCAATAGAAAATGAAAACAGTCTAATATTCATGAGAAAAATAATGAATGGAAGCATATTAATGTTGACTGGTTCACAGGCATCTGGAAAGTCAATGCGAGCACTTCGACTCATACAGCTACTATGTAAGAATGATTATATTACCCTATAGTAAGTTTGTCTTTTTCAATTGGTTTACACATCTACATTCTGATTGTTTATTCTCCTTACTCTTCAACTAGTGTGACTTTTGAGGCCGTTAAGGTGAATCAAAGCTTAAACGTGTTCTGGTCTAGTTTAGGAAGCACCCTAGAAATGAATTATGGTAATGATAAAAAATGTGAAGAATTTTTTAGTATTCAGGATTCTGTTGAACGCGTGCCCTATAAAAACTACGATATTTAAAATATACTTAAAATATATTTAAAATATATTCAAAATATATTTATTAAATATTTTTTAAGTATATAAAAAAACTATTTAAAATATTATTATTTTATAATTAAAATATATTTAAAATATACTTAAGAAATACTTAATTTAGGTAATGAGTAAGTATGTTTTAGGTATAAACTTAAAATATACTTAATTTTAAATATGTTTTAATAATATTTTAAGTATATTTTAAATATATACTTAAAATATACTTACTCATTACCTAAATTAAGAATTTTTTAAGTATATTTTAAATATATTTTAAGTAGATTATCACAAATATAATTAAATATATTTTAATAATATTTTAATAATATTTTAATTATATTTTAAGTATTTTTTAAATATGCATATTTCTTATAGGGATGTGGGACAAGAAGGTTATTCTTTTTATTAATGAGTCAATAAGTTTTATAAGGTAACTGAAAAGGTCTGTAACAATTGTTTAGAGATTTTTCGTTGTATTAAAAATTAACCTTATTATGCAATTAAACACTTGAAACTTTTATTATTCAATATCAGATTTTCATTTAATGTTAATGACCAATTTACTAACCCATACTTCACTGAGAACCAGGTGTACAAACTATTTGAAGACTTTGCAAAAGTTCAAAATATTACAATTGACTGTGAAATTTTTAATAATATTTATGAGCAATCAAATGAGTAAGATAATAACTGGATTGACAAAAATTTAAATCTTATTAATAACACATTTAATATATTTTTCAAAAGGCATCCTGGTTTAGTTTGTCTTTGTGAACATTCGATCACTGATTATCTACTTTTAAACATTAACTTGACTTTAAATTGTGAAAAATATTATTATTTTTTTTTTGTTTCAATGAGGCCTTGCTTCAAATTTATTAATTAAGAAAAGAGAAAGTCTTTTACATTATTATTACATAAAACAAAATACACAACTTATCCTAATAACTATTGTAAAAAAATGGGACTCAAACTAACTCTATAAAGAGACATACCTACAACCTACTACTTGATAGTAACAGCTATCCTCAGCATGTTAAGGTTCTGCCAAACAACCTTAAATTGTGAAAAATATATTCTGTTAAAAATTTAGAAGAAAATATACTTTCTAATGTTATATTTAAAAAATTAATTGAATTACTCGAAAGTGATATGGTCAAAGTTACTTTGAACTTTCTTTGATCTTGATTTCTGGAATATCTTAATATTGTATAGATAAGCAAAAATAATTTTAATAATAAAAAGTATGCAGATTTCTTAGTGAGTAAAGATGTGTTATTAAAAGATGAAATGAATAAAGAAAATTATAAGATGTCTTCATCTTATGTAGATGGATTAATCAGATGATATATTATTTCCAAAATATATCTTTTTGCATCTCAAAAAAGAATTCCCTTAAAAAGAGACAGTTCTTTAATTTTCCTGGATATCTTGATAGATGTCATACATTTTTTTGATAAAGATATTATTGAACAAGTATCAATTTACTTATAAAAAAGCTCACATAAAAGTGAATGGTTATTCTAATGTTCCTGTTCCTTGAGAGAGTATCTATAATACAGAATTGAATAGAATTTTAAGTAATTGAATTAATATGAAAGGTATCTTCAAAGTTACTGGACAATGGCATCTAACAAAATCTTGTAATGATAGAATTCATTATAAATATAGTAATATAGTTATTAATTTGACAACATTTGAATAGCAAAAAATTGTCATTGAGCTTTTGACTATAGCAATATAAGTAAAACTTTAAGAACATTTTTCATAACACTTGAATATAAAGAATTACTTTTAGCAGGTGAAATTTAGATCATTCATTTTACTTATGAATCTAATGTCATTTTGAATCTACTCTGGCTATCTGATGAGCAACAGAAAAAAGATTTTAATGTTGTATATCTCTGGCATAATAGAAAATTTATATGTGTAGCCTATCACTTACATAATTCTATTGGTGTTTTTGAAAATATAAATCAACAGGTTATTAGAGAGACTGTTTATAGTGTATAATGTAAAATACTAAAATATAAGTTAAAATATTTATACAATTATTAAATTATAGTTATAAGATTTATTGGTGATTTGACACAGGTTGAAAAATCAAATTTCAGTATACTGACTTGTGTCAAAAATTGAATACCTGTGAAACTGTAATATAAAATTATAAATTACTTTATCAAAATTACATATAAACCATTTTAATTATATAATCAAATTATCAAAATGCTACTAAGTAAACTTGTAGAAAATAAAAATATTTATCATTTGTAAAATTTTCAACTGTATTTTATTAAAATTAAAAGAATTATTAATGCTTTAATTCACATAACTGTTTAAACTTTAATTATTATTACATCAGAAATTTTATAAAGACATTCTAGTATGCTATAAATATGAAATGTTGAAATAATACACTAAAAATGTCAATTTTAGTATGCTATAAATACAAAACATTTAAATAATACAATAGAATATTATGTTCTACAGTGTGGAATCTCTATAATAGGAACTTAGAAAATCTTAAATAAAATTTAATCCAATGATCAAATTTATTTCATATTATAACATTTGAATGTACTGTACAGTGACTTGCGTTTAAGTATTTTTGATTAACAAATCAGAAGACAAAAAATTATCATAAAATTGATTTGATATTTTTAAGATTTCGCAATGATATCAATTTTCCTTAAACATTTCATATAGTAAACTATATAAATCAATAAACTAACATGACTCAGAGAGTAAAAAAAATGCAAATTATTTTCATCATTATAATTCCTATTCTGTTACTTGCGTTTTCTTGCACCCTTTTTATTCTGTTACTTAACCTCCCTCTTATCTTGTTTGTGCTTTTTCTATTTGGAGCTGTTATAATCTTATTACACTTTACTTGGTATGAACTATGATCGGTGAAATTATTAATACCATATGTTCTAATACAGGACATCTTTTTTATGTAGGTTTTTATCTCACAGAGCCTTAGAAGAAGAGATTTCTATCGAACGTTCCACATCTTTGTCTCTCGAAGCTCCTGATTGTTTTAAAGTTAGAGGGTTAGAGAAAAATTGGGCCGATCTTATAAAAGACAGGAGAGTTTAGATTTACTATTACCATTTTTAAATGTTATTAATATGTATTAAAGCCTATTCATATATTATAGATTTCCGTCAAGAGACCTGGTATAGAACCTATACGTGTTGCCCAAATCCCAAATCATTTGGAATTTGGGATGCCAAAATCCCAAATTACTAGTATTTGGGATTTGGGATTTGGGATTTTGACAAAAAATACTAATCATAATTTGGAATTTGGGATTTGGAATTTCGGCATTTGGGATTTCGGCATTTGGATTTTGAATTTGGGTGGCAGATATAATAGAACTCACATCAATGTATCGAGGAGTAAGTTTTATTTTTTTTCTTATTGAAAGATACAATTAATTAGATGTCTCTAAGCTAATTGCATTGTAATTATTTTTTTAGGAGAAGGAATTACTCCTTTAGAACATCTTGCCGAACACTTGAAACGTGCATAAAAAGAATTAGACACAGAAACAGACACAGAAAACGAAGACATTGATCAAGAAGAATAGTAATGCCCCCTCGTCGACAGATCACACTGAATCAAGATGCTCTCTCCAATGTGGAAGGCTTAAGTATTACAAAGAAAGTTATTATGGTTCAAGCAATATTGGACATTGCTAATGTAACATTAGATCAAATATTATCATGTAACTTTCCCCAAGTCCAATTCCTCATAAGGTTAAGAACAATATATATGAATGTAAACCGATCTCAATATGTAGATGTAAGATTTATTTATAGGCACAATAAAATCAATATTATAGGTGTCTTTACTTCTTAATTTATCCTTAATTGTATTAATGTAATTAGAACTTATTTTGTAAAAATTAAATGTTATATTAAATAAATTACTACTATGTTTCTATTGTCTGTTGTCTATTATATTTGACTATATTATTGTGCATCATTTTTTTCTTTGATGAGCTGTCTTAGATAAACTGTGGCAGATGTTTACTTGGACATGATCAAATCGATTTTGTTCATGTTCAAAGACATGTCTTATCAAAGAGTATTGACTTACCTTTATCCCTAGTAGCAAGATATATGTTTACATACCTTGACCAATTAAAGTATATCTATTCCAGAATGCAGTTAAAATGGATCTGCTCACGTCCTAATAAAAAATCCATCCTGGTTTTGTCCTAGTAAAAAAAAAGTTAACCAGGACGAATTCGGTATAAAAGAAAGAATTCTAAATCTTTTTTATCTTGTTCTTTTATATTTATTATATATTCGTTCTAGTTGTCCTAGTAAAAAGTAATAATCTAGGTAAAAAATAAAACTCATTAACCCATGATATGTTTATACTATACATATACGTTATATACAGTGGGTGGTCAAAAGTCACTGAACATTTTTAAAAAAATTACTAAATTTAAAATGCTAATTGTGCCATAACGAGTGATCTAAATTGCACAAACTTTT